TGTGAATGCACAAACGCCCATTTCAGGACTACTTACTTTGAATTGTTACTTTCGGATAAACGATTTGCTGTGATTACATAAATCGGTTTATGATTTTGGTATTCATAACTTATTGATATTTCCTTCAAAAGTCCTAGGGGCGGCGGTTGGGTATTCTCTGTTAATGCACAAAAGCCGTTTTCAGCAATACTTATTTTGAATTGTTACTTTCGGATAACCGAAGAAAAGATATAAGAATGAGAACATCCGCATTCCCGGGAATTACCGTGAACGTCAGCTAGTACCTAATAAATAATGGACTATTCCGTTTTTATTGCGTGCAAAGACATATCAGTGACGTTACTTGATTTCAGTCAAAGAAATAAAGTACAAGTATTTAACGTCTTATGCTAATACCTCATGAATATTGAACTATTTTGTTTTCATTATGTGAAAAAGACGAACGACATATTAGAGACGCTACTTGGTTTCAGTGAAAGAAAGAATGAAATAAAGGTACAAGTGCTTAACGTTTCCTGCTAATACCTCATAAATAATGAACTATTCTCTTTTGATAAACTGAGAAGATATTTTAAAGACGCTACTTGGTTTCAATTATAAAGTGAAAGAAAGGAAGATAGAAGTGTTTAAGTGCTGTTTCAATGAAATAGAAAAAGTTGTCAATTTCCACTCTTTTCATTCTTACTCCCTTATTTCTAAAGATAGCAACCAGCATTCATATTTATGATGCTTATTGGAATAAAGCTCAAATATTTAAGCGCGAATTTCTACGAATATTTTACTACTAGCGTTATTTACATTATTTGGACTCTTATTCTCATCTTCATTGACATATTCACAACGTTTCGGACGTTGTACGCTCCGGCCTTCTTCAGGTGATTAAAATTTCGAACCGAACTCTTTATTTCGTCCACCGGTGTAGATTTTTCTAGTTCCACTGCCATGCCTCTTCCAGATGTCTCAGTTATTTCCCTTTAACCCAGCTCTCCAAGTTTTGGTTCACCACTGCTGTTTCCTGGTACTGGACTCACAACTCTTTGGGTCTAGTCATGGAATCTAACCAACGTCTTTATCCACTCTGCTATATATCCTGGAGGACAATCTACCCCGGCGGGCGAAATAAAGGGTTCGGTTCGAAATTCTAATTACCTGAAGAAGGCAGCATCGTATAACGGCCGAAACGTTGTGACTATGGCAGTGAAAATGAGGATAACAGTACGAATAATGTAAATAATGCAAGTAATCATAATACCTCATCTCAGAGATATAGACGGATGTTTTATTGTTGTTTAACTCGCCATAAGCTTCTTTAATCATTAACTGAAGAATTAAAATTCATCAGAAAATTCAAATCGGAAAATCGTGAAATTTTTTAATCAGTTTAATTGTTTAGAGTTCAATTTTCTGAGGAGCCTTTCGATAGTGTATATTGTTGTATATAACACAGTACATTCAATTAATGCTTTTTTCTCAGGGTTGAAAGTATCGATATATACGTATACTCATGTTGGCTCAAAATGCATCACTCTGGTTCTATACATAGATACGTGTATTGGCTTGTTCGCAGCTTCAGAGTTAAATGCATGCAAATGTAAGCAGGCACTAAGAGATGCCTTGCCAAGTCCGTACTTATCACGCCGTGTGCCGATGTGGCTGGAAGCAAGTCAAATATCCAGGATGTTAAGACTGAAGATAATGAAGCCGCGCCATGAAAAGGTATAAACAAAAACAGAAGAGCTGGTGATGAAGTGAGGGGGGGGGTCGGGGAAACAACGGAATGAAGCCGTTCAGCCAATGAAAAAACATCAACAGCCCAACTGGGACAAGTTTTAGTCAGTCACGTGCATAACGAACGAACGAAACACTTTTTTTTTCTTTAATTCCTTCTTGCCTTTCTTTTACGTGTTTCTTTTTATTTGTTTCCTTTTCTTTCCTTCTTTCTTGAATTTGCTTTTATTTTTTATTTCTTGACTGTTTCATTTTTCGTTCTTTCTTTTTTTTCTTTACATTTATTCTTTGTTTTTTCTTACGCTTTGTTTTTTCCTTTTCTTTCTTTAATCATTTACTTTTGCATTCTTTCGTTCGTGCTTCCTTTTTTTTTCTTTCTTTTATCTTTCTTTTTCTTTAATTGTTTCTTTTGGGCTTTGTTTCGTTTCTTTTTTTACTTTTTTCTTTTTGCATTCTTTCGTTCTTGCTTTCTTTTGTTTCATTCTTTTTCTTTCATTTTTCTTTCTTTTTGTTTCTTTTTCTTTAATTGTTTATTTTTGCATTCTTTGGTTATTCTTTCGTTCTTTGTTTTGTTTCTTTTTTTCTATTTTTACTTGTTTCTTTTCGAATTCTTTCGTTCTTGATCTTCATCTTTTTTCTTTTTCTTTAATTGTTTATTTTTGCATTCTTTTTTTCTTTTCTTTTCTTTTTTTCTTATTCATTCGTTTGTTTAAATAGTTTATTTTTTGCATTTTTTTTCTTTTTTATTCATTCGTTTGCTTAAATAGTTTATTTTTGCATTCTTTCTTTCTTTCTTTCTTTCTTTCTTATTCATTCGTTTGCTTAAATAGTTTATTTTTGCATTCTTTCTTTCTTTCTTATTCATTCGTTTGCTTAAATAGTTTATTTTTGCATTCTTTCTTTCTTTCTTTTTCTTTTTCATTCGTTTGCTTAAATAGTTTATTTTTGTTCTTTCTTTCTTTCTTTCTTATTCATTCGTTTGCTTAAATAGTTTATTTTTGCATTCTTTCTTTCTTTCTTTTTTTCTTTCTTTCTTTCTTTCTTTCTTATTCATTCGTTTGCTTAAATAGTTTATTTTTGCATTCTTTCTTTCTTTCTTTCTTTCTTTCTTATTCATTTCTTTTATTTTTTGCATTCGTTTCTTTTTTATTCATTAAAATAGTTTATTTTTGCATTCTTTTTCTTTCTTTCTTTCTTTCTTTCTTTCTTATTCATTCGTTTGCTTAAATAGTTTATTTTTTTTCATTCTTTTCTTTCTTTCTTTCTTATTCATTCGTTTGCTTAAATAGTTTTTTGCATTTTTCTTTCATTCTTTCTTTCTTTTTATTCATTCGTTTGCTTAAATAGTTTATTTTGCATTCTTTCTTTCTTTCTTTCTTTCTTTCTTTCTTTCATTCGTTTGTTTAAATTTTATTTTTGCATTCTTTCTTTGCTTTCTTTCTTTCTTATTCATTCGTTTGCTTAAATAGTTTATTTTTGCATTCTTTCTTTCTTTCTTTCTTATTCATTCGTTTGCTTAAATAGTTTATTTTTGCATTCTTTCTTTCTTTTTTATTCATTCGTTTGCTTAAATAGTTTATTTTTGCATTCTTTCTTTCTTTCTTTCTTTCTTATTCATTCGTTTGCTTAAATAGTTTATTTTTGCATTCTTTCTTTCTTTCTTTCTTTCTTTCTTATTCATTCGTTTGCTTAAATAGTTTATTTTTGCATTCTTTCTTTCTTTTTTATTCATTCGTTTGCTTAAATAGTTTATTTTTGCATTCTTTCTTTCTTTCTTTCTTTCTTTCTTTCTTATTCATTCGTTTGCTTAAATAGTTTATTTTTGCATTCTTTCTTTCTTTCTTTCTTTCTTTCTTTCTTATTCATTCGTTTGCTTAAATAGTTTATTTTTGCATTCTTTCTTTCTTTCTTTCTTTCTTATTCATTCGTTTGTTTAAATAGTTTATTTTGCATTTTTCTTTCTTTTTTATTCATTCGTTTGCTTAAATAGTTTATTTTTGCATTCTTTCTTTCTTTTCTTTCTTTCTTTTTTCTTTCTTATTCATTCGTTTGCTTAAATAGTTTATTTTTGCATTCTTTTCTTTCTTTTTTATTCATTCGTTTGCTTAAATTTTATTTTTGCATTCTTTCTTTTCTTTTCTTTTTATTCATTCGTTTTTCTTATTCATTCGTTTGCTTAAATAGTTTATTTTTGCATTCATTCTTTCGTTTTCTTTCTTTCTTATTCATTCGTTTGTTTAAATAGTTTATTTTTTAATTTGTTTATTTTTTTTTTCTTTTTGCTTTTTTTATTTTTTTGCATTTTTCTTTCTTTCTTTCTTTCTTTCTTATTCATTCGTTTGCTTAAATAGTTTATTTTTTGCATTCTTTCCTTCTTTCTTATTCATTCGTTTTAAATTTTATTTTTACATTCGTTATTCTTTCTTTTTTGTTTCTTTTTCTTTAATTGTTTCTTTTTGCATTCTTTCATTATATCTTCGTTCTTTCTTTCTTTTGTTTCTTTTTCTTTCTTTTTAATTGTTTATTTTTGCATCCTTTCCTTATTCGTTTGCTCTTTCTTTTTTGTTTTGTTTAATTTTTAATTGTTTATTTTGCATTCTTTTATTTTTTGCTCTTTTTTTGTTTTTTTAATTCTAAATTCATTCTTTCTTTTTAATTTTTTCACTTCTTTTTTTTTCACTATTTTTTTGCATTCTTTTTGCATTCTTTTCTTTTGCTTTGTTTATTAATTGAATACGATCTTGCGTTCTTTTCTTTCTGTTCTAGTCAGTCTTAGTCTTTCTTTTAGTCCTTTTAGTCAGTTGTTTGCTTATTACCTTCCATCTCACGTTCTTCTCTTTTTCTTTAATTCGTTCTTTCATTTGCTTTCTTGTTGGTATTTATTTTACTATTCTTTTACATTCCTTTATTTTTGACATTTGCTTTTTTTATTTTCTTCCTTGCTTAATTCTTTCTTTCTAACATTTATTCGTTCTTTTTTTTCTTTCTTTCTAATACCAGTCTTTAATTTTTCTCTCACTTTTTATTCTCCTTATCCAACTCTCTCTCATTTTTTTTTATCTGTCACTCTCTCACCACCTAATCACTCAGTTTGAATCCTCTTGTCTTCTCATTGTTGAAAAATAACTACAAACAACGGAAGGGTCCCTTGTGGTGCGACACGATTTCTCTTCTCGCTTTTCAAATCACCACAACCACCAGCCTCTAGTTTCTCACCGCAACAACCGCTGACTCCAGCGAAGTTTCCAGCTTCATTGCGGCCATATTATCAGATGGACGGTCGTCTGGTCCTGCGCAATGGGGGAGACGGTGTTGTTGTTCGTCTCTCGATATCATGGTCTACTGCCTCGCCACATCCGGGCCTCTATAACCAACGCAAAAATACTGAGTCAGTGAGGCGTTAGAGTGTTGATATGATGGACGTCATTGGCCCCGGGGATGATGGTGTGGCCATGGTGATGGGGGAGTAAGAGGGTGGTGCTCTTAGTAGTGTCGGTAAGTGTTCCTGGTAGTTGTTCTGATGATAATGTTTAGATTAATGGTACCAAAATGGTAATGCCGGTTGAAAGAGTAGTCACCGAGATTTGTACGAGAGAATATTGATGATATGACGAGTTATTTGCTTTAAGTATTCCTGGGCCGGGCCGAAACAAGCAAAAAGTATGTGACATAATTATTGCTTAAAATTCTACAGGAAATTTTAGCAATTCGAAAATACCTAAGCCCATGCATGATCATATATATAGTGATTTTCCAAGCGTAGCTTTGATGTGACACGAGACCGAAAGCATGGGGCATCCAGTGAGGATCAAACTCACTACTCAGTCGTAAATGTTCTAGCAAGACAAGCTTGCTAACCATTACAACGCATCGAGGTGCACCATGATCATATATATATATATATATATATATATATATATATATTATATATATATTATTTTTTTTACAGACAAAAACAATTTACTCACTACAAAGATGCAACATGCGGCTTGCTTACAAACAGAATTGTTCATAACCATTTTTGTTCTCACCAGTCGAAGTGCAATTTAAATGCACTTAAACGAAGTTGCATCTTTGTAGTGAGTAAATTGTTTTTGTCTATATGATATATATTACAGATATATTATGTATATATATATATACATATATACATAGCATAATGAGAAGCCACGTATACTTTCTTAATATGTATATATAGAAAAAGTTGCAAATTAAAAAATAATTACTTTTGGAGAAAGATTGAGGCCAATTTGAAATATCAAATATATATTACAAATGAATAAATACTTTCATAAAAGTACATTATTTTTTAATATGCAACTTTTTCTATATATACATATTAAGAAAGTATACGTGGCTTCTCATTATGCTATGTATATATGTATATATATATATATATATATATACATAATATATCTGTAATATATAGGAGACACAACTAGGTACTTCGAAACAAACTCAACCACAGACCGTCTGAGCGGAGTGTGTTTCCCAACCTGAAGGTATTTCCATCTGGGCTCCAACTGCAAGTGTATGTGCTGCTTTCTTAAAACCTTCCATTTTAGGGAACCAATTTTAATGACATATGTATCATCGTCATTACTAATCCTTCGAGAGAGTCATAAATACATCTGGTGTACACAAATATGTCCCAAATGTGGCTTGTTAAAAACGTTTTGCCTTTCCGGTAACCAAGTCCACCGACCGGAAATGCTTACTTTTTTAATCGTAAAAACTTTTTTTTTTTTTTTTAAATAAACAACGCCAATGTCACTTAGCATTAATTATCTGTAATTTTTTTACATAGATTTACATTATATATATATATATATAAGTTTTTAATCGGTATCCATCAAGCAAGGAAGTAAAGCCACTAAGACGCAAGGGGTTACTGGGTGTGGGAGAATTCTGAACAAAAACATTAGTAATGAGATGGGAAGAGGAAAGACTAATCAGGAGGGCAGTAGATAGTGAATGACTCTGCATTTTAATTTTTGAGGATTAAAGCTGGCTGGAAAGTATGGATCCGGAAGGTAGTTCCACAAGGTAGAAGTGCGAGAACTGTTAGCATAGAATTTACGGCTACTTCTAGCCAGTCCAACTGTAAATTTATGAGTTCTCGACAATAGTCTAGTACGGTGCTTAAATCCCAAAAGTCTAGGTACCATAGCGAAAAGCACATCCAAATAATTATCATGAAAGCATTTACAGAAAAGACACAGAGATAATACTTACGTATTTATATAATTTTTAAGTACTCAGTAATCTTACAAATGTTGAAAAATATTCTCTGTAACTTAATTTTAGGAATGCTGACTTTAAATTTACTATAGTGATCGCTCTTATTTTCTGATAATGTCGTTTATAGTCGCCCATACTTTCAAAAATGGGCACGTTACATATTATTTTATATACATAAAAAATTAAAAACAATTTTAAAATCTTGGTGCAAAGTGATTTGTATTAAGCTTTTTAGTCTTTGATTAGAAAATATAGTTTTCACTTAATAAAAATATCACCTAACGAGATTAAACTAATGTAGAATCTTAAAAGATTTAAAATAAATTATTATAATTAAAATTAAAAGAAATGAAAATAATTCTTGTAAAAATAAATTATTCATCGAAAAAAGTTTTTCCTTAAGACAATAGTGTTCTTAATAAATCTTATTTAAAAGCAATTAAAAGCTTTTCTAATTAAATAATGTCAGTTTTATTGCATCTTTTATTTTACGATTAGGAGCAGATTCTCGGGAAATGAGTAGCAGTTTAAAAAAAAAAAAGAAGGTATTTACATTCTCCAAGGAGTCCTGATTTTAAATAATGTAATAAAGTTTATGATAAAAATTTAATTTCTCGAAATTTCATGAAATTATGTAAGTGGGTGAGGTAACATGTAAAAAAAAATATTTTTTTTTACAAAGATTTTCTAAAACAAAAACATTTCAAAATAATTTCATTCATTTGTGAATAAGTTCAGAAAGTTTCATTGAAATCCGAGAATTATTTCATTTTTGCAAGAATTTCTAAATTAATGTGTTGTTCATATAAGAAAGACGCTAAAACATTAATCGTAAATATTACATCGATCGCTAAGGCAAAAAAACAAGATTTTTAACCAAAATTTCGAACGTGCTAGAAAGGATTAAAAAATTAATAAAACAAAAAAAAAAAACTTTAGTCTTTCTTAATAACAACATAAACATTTTGACGATAAAACTTTGGTTTTATTAAGTTTGTGGTCTTTTTTCATTATGCTATGCTGTTTTTTTTTTCAGCGAAAAAGTGGAAATGCATAATTTAGTTGTAAAAAAAACACGAAAGTTTTATTCGTCTGAAGCCATTTTTAATCAATGATCTGAAAAAAACGATTGTATATAGTTGATAGTTTAGATAGTTGTCTTGTTAAAAGCATTTTCCTTTTCCGGTAATCACGTCCACCGACCGGAAATGCTTAACTTTTTAATCGTAAAAATGATTTGACGGTGTTTTGTTTTTTATATGCAACACTAATACCATGAGCCGAACATGTGAACAACGACGACACTTTGGAGAAAATAGAAACAAAAAGGATACTTATATTTAACATTAGTAAGAGACAGTTGAAATTTGTCGGATATGAGGATAGAGGGCTTAGAAAGGATATTGATATTGACAGGACATATTAGAGGCAAGAGAGACAGGAAAACAGCGCTTAACGAACTTGTTAGTAGAACATAGCATACGATGAGATAGCGAAAAGACAAACATCACGTTTTCAGAGCACGTAAACAAGCGTACAAGGCGACTGGGCGTATAAGACGACCCCCAAATTTTCAAGTTAAAATGTAGGTGTCGGGCCATATTCACCGTACAAGACACGCTACCAAAATCATATTTTAAAATGTATTGAATTTATTAAATCTATCCAGTAAACATATACTTTCTTTTCACTCAAATTCTAATGAAAAAAAAAAAAAACTTTGGGGAGATATTATCAAATATCTACCACAATCTACAATACATCATGAGTGGGTGCTGAGTTTTCGATAGGCTAATTCTGTAACCTGAATGACTTTCCTCACTAACTATGCGATCTTTAAACGACTTGTTGGGATACACATCCACTTGAGTTTTGGATTAACATGATCGAAAAAAGAAGGCGAAATATTGTCAATTAACTACCACAGGATTTATGGTTTACATTTTATACCTGAAGTATAAGACGGCCCCCTTTTTTGAGTGAATTTTTAATGTTAAACGGTCGCCTTGTAAGCCGATATATACGGGTACCTAGTGAGTTTGTATAAATAGATAGCAGTACAGGGTTTAGGAGAGATAACGAAAAGACAAAATTTATAAAGAGTTGCAAATGAAAGGATATTGTTGAGAGCCATGATCGACAATGTCCTGAAGGGAGACCGCATCTTGAAGAACAACACCTCCTAAAATTAATTATCTACAAAATTATTGCATATAGATTTACATTTTACTCATTGATTTTTAGTAAAGACTCGACTGAATATCTGTATTGAGAAAAACATAGCTATGGTGTTTGAACAGAAAATTCATCCTTGTATTTTTCATGTTTGGATTGACATACGATCTGGCTACCAGACGTCTCCCACGAAAATTATTTTTCTTCAATAGACGTGGATTTTTTGTCAATTGGCAAAGTTATTTGTGATTGTAGCGCAAGTCTATGAGATCTGATGTGGGATAAGATCTACAACGTTCATTCGTCCGAAGCCATTTTTAATCATTGGTCTGAGAAAACGGTTGTATTATAGTTGATAGTTTAGGCATTTCTGAACGAGTCGGACGCCATGAAGAATATCCATGACAAGGCACTTTAAGAACACAAATCGAGATCTTAGATTAATATTTTGGTTATGTAGCCTCTGATGGTGTTGGCCAAAACTAGCGCGGGCACAGCTTAATCTAGCATCAATTCCTTTATCACCTATGCTAAACTTGAGATAACTAATGTATATTAACTTTGTTATAGTGAGATTCACCTTGTACAAGGCCCGGTAGTCACTCGAGGTAGATGATTACAAAGAGGCACAGTTTATGCAGATAAGTGGGGAAGATAACGGTTAACCGAAGACTTGAATAGGTTAACATTGTAATGATCGGGGAAACATCCTCTTAGGTGCCGGTTCCACAAAGCAGTGGTTTTTGGGAAGAAGCTGTTCCAGTGGAACTTCTTACCAATGGAATACGGAGGAAATGAGGATGGTTTGCGAATATGTGGGTGGTATGCCCGGTCTTAGCCGTGAAGGTTAGAACTGGTGGAACCAAGAAATGCAGATATACCAAGGTATTTGAAATGTTTAGCATTTATTAATTCTTCAATTCTGCATTTTTATGACAGATTCAGTGTATTTACTTTCATAGCTTTCATTCCAATTCCAAATCGTAATTTCTGTTTCGGAGACGTTCATCTCAAGTCCTACTTAGAACACTTGATAAAAAAATACTAACTTTAGTTTGAAGATCATTCTTAGTATCTGTCTATATTTCTGAGATGAGGTCCAGCATTTACATCCTCATGGAATACTTTGAAGAAATGGCATCAGTGACAGGACCCAAATATTGTCAGTTCAATACCTGGATAAGGCAGTGGAGAACTTGGAGAGGGGAATTAAGTAGGAGATAACTGATATATGACATCCATTAGACATGGCACGTGGAACTAGAACAGTCTACCCCAGCGAGCGAAATAAAGGGTTCAGTTCGACATTCCAACAACCCGAAGAAGGCCGGAGCGTACAAAGACCGAAACGTTGTGATAAATACGGCAACAAAGATGAGAATTATAATCCGAAAGGTCATTCTTATTCCAGTTATGAATACCTATGTCATCAGCATTACTTCCTTCGATCTCACTACACCGGCCTTTGGAAGGGAAGCAGCTGTGTTGTTTTCTCTTAATAGGTGTATTTGAGGATGTCGTATTGAATGTTTAACTGATCAAGGCTAGTTTCTGTACATCTACGCTTGTACATGCATAGAACATCGTCCCGGGAGAGATTAAATAGACTGTGGCCCTCAATTCAGACTTCTTGTTAAAAATAAAAACAAAAAAAAAAGTCATCCTGATTTCTTTAGGCGCGAATTTATTAAATGTTCTGAGTTGTTTAGTTTCTAATTTGTGAAGATGCCGTTTAAGATTTGCACGCACCTTCCCCTCTCACGGCACTATCAGTAACGGCAACTGTAATTGCGACATATTCCCCCCCCCCCCCACTACTACAGTACCAATGATACCAATAGCGTTTACAATTACTTCGTCAACGACGAAAGGTGAGAATAATAAAGATTTGCTTCAGCTTCGGGTCGATAACCAATTAACTCAGTCCAGATCGAATAACATTCTGGGTTTAGTGCAGTTATGACTTTCCGTTGAATAGATCATTTCCCTGTTTTAGTAAATTCTCTTACTAGAAAATTCGACATGCAGTTCAAAGTTTACTAGCAAAAGAGGCTAAAAATCAATATTTTTTTTACCTTTTGATGTTCAGTAACATTCTTCCGGGAAATCAAAAATCATATTTTTTCCATCTTTTTCCATCATTGCAGAAGCAGCGTGTAAGATATTTCTTCTTTCCGCTTTGGAAAAGTCCACGACTCTAAAACAGAATTTTAAGCTGAATGATAACGAAATACAAGGCACAAGGCCACTCAAAGTAGAGAGTTTCTAAATGAGGCTGTTGTAATAAGCGTAATTACGAAGTTGACTAAAATGAATATAAGGAAGATAGAGTACTTGAGGTGGCAAGATTAGGGCCGTAGGGCATCCTCTTGGGAAACTTCCTTCTTATTAATGGAATACGAAGGGGATGAGGATGATTCGACTCTGCGTAACTGGCAGAGCGTGTCCTAGCTGTAAATGTCTGAAGTGGTGGGACTATGGAATAAAGCTCGTTGGAGAGCGTGAAACCCAGGGTTGCAAACTTTCATAAATCTAACTATGTTAGCTCTATCACTGACTAGCAGTAGAGCCCGGCGTTACCCGGGGATGTAGCAGTAAGAGATAGATCAAGTATCGACCATCATAAAGACTGAAAAATAAAATTGACAAAGATTATTGTTTAAGGTTGACGGACACGCACGTCTTAATTATTTTTTTTTTTTTACGAATTGGTCAAACCCAAATTCAAACAAAAACATTGTTTACAATCGTTATAAGTCTATCGATTGGTGAATAGAATTTTATTATAAACAATTGTCTTGTAAATGGTATTTTTAAAGCATTCTGAATGTAAATAAAGAAAGAAGTGTGCAAGACAATAAGAAATACTACCTGCCGAAAAAAAAAGTGGATGTTTGTTTTATCGGCTGAAAAATGTAAGAAATCCGATCCCATATATAAAGGAACACACACACACACACACACACACACACACACACACACACACACACACACACACACACACACATAAACAACCTGGGTTTTTTAACCTAAGTCACTCCACGGAATCGCTAAAACATAGAGCATAGTCTGATGAAAAAGACGCCAAAGTTTATGAAAACAAAATTTTATCGTCAAAATGCTTATGTTTTTATGAAGAGGATAGACTAAATTTTTTTTTAATTATTTAAAAAAAAATTTTTTCCATCTTTTTAGAATATTCTATATTTTGATTTAAAAAACCTTGTTTCTCTTTGTCGCAACAAGGAGTAGTAAATAACATAGATAATTTTTAGTGCGTTTTTTTGTATTTACACACATTAATTTGGAAAATCTTGCAAAAATAAAAATAATTGTCAGATGTTAATGAAACTTTCAGAAACTATTCACAGATGATCGAAATTATTATAAATATGTTTTTTTTATTAAAATCATGGCAGAAATATTTTTTTTATATTTATTAACACCCCCATAACTAATTTTATGAAAAACTCTAGAAATTCGAGACCATCGGTTTTAGTGATTACAATAGTTAAAAGCACAAGGCTTTGAAGAATGCAAATCATGTTTTTTTTTTGTTTTTTGTTTTTTTTTTAACGTACCTGAAAATCAGCTGTGAATTGTAACATACAAAACTCAATAAAACAAATATATTATTTAGTTTCAAATGCTTTTATTTGTTTTAATTTGTTTTTATGAATATGGACAATATTTTCTGAAAGCAAAAATTTTTTCAATGAAAATTGAATTTTTAATACAATTATTTCTTATTTCTTTAATTTTAAAAAGATTTTTAAAAAATGTTTAAATTGAATTTTAAAAAATATTTTAACATTAGTTAAAACTTAAAAGCAACATCAACCTTTCAAAATGTCCGTGTGAGATTGTCATTGTCTAGCGCTTTGAAAATTGTATAATTTGGACCAATCAGATTAGCCATGGTAATTAAGAAATGTAATTTTTGTGTTTATAGTCGGACAGTAATTATTAAGTACGGAAGATCAACCAGAATACAATTTAGTTGCATTATTTGAGTTCAGCATTGTTCTCCGCTGTTAAGCCCTTTACTTTTTATGAAACACTTATGGAGAATTTAATTTGAGTTTTCAATTTCAACTGAGAAGGGTACCTACAAGTAACAGTATCATCTTATGAAATTTAACTACTGCTAAACTTTAATTTATATGATCTTATTTTTATATTAATCTCATTTATGACATTTTTCCATAAATGATATATCAAAATTAATAATAAAATGAATGGAAATACAAATAACACAGTAAAATGTAATAAATGTACATAAAATTATAGTATTTTATGTACACTTCTGATAAAATTTCATAAGAAAGGTACCTAAATTAATTAGATACCTTTTTCTTATGAAATTTAATCTCACTATTAACAGACTTATTTTCTAATTTCTTTATATTTTCCATAAAGCATTGTAAACGTAAAAATGAAAGCTAAGTACAAAAAAAAATTTAAAAAAAAATAAAAAATAAAAAATTAGAGCGCTGAAAGTTTTCCTTAAAAGTAACAAGGTAAATAATTTGTTCACTTAAATAATTTCACTTCCTTCCATCCGTAGAAAGAATTCTCCTCCCGTAAGTTATCTAAATGTCATGAATGTGCCTTTCGTCAATCGTCAAGCGACGCGAAAGGTTATGACCTGCTTTGTTTTATTTTCAAATTACATTCTTTCGGCGCAGAAGCTAAGTTAAGCTTGGTTCAAAATATTTTAAATAAACAGTATAATTTCTGTTTTTATTAAAATCAGTTTTGAAAAAATGATAATTGATTTTTAAAAGAATATCAAAGTAAGATTTTAATCTTTTAAATCGAAAAGAATGATTGAAAATGATTCTGTCCTTTTTTTTGACCAAAAAAAAACAATATTTTTAACAAAAATTTCAGACGTGCTAGGAACGATTAAAAACGTAAAAAAAATCCCCCAAAATACTTTTGATCTTTCCTCTTTAATAATAATATGAACATTAGACGATAAAATTTTGTTTTCGTCAAGTTCGGCGTCTTTTTCATCATGCTATGCTCTTTTGTTTACATTTTCGTGGGTGAGTTGTCCCCCTTTCATTCTCACGATGTGTCTTAATCGTGTTTTCAAAATGATTTTCTTAAAAAACAACTGTGTTTTTCCCATTTTCGGCCCCGTTAGAACCACCACAAGGTAATTTTATGTAGTCCTGTGAAGTTTTGTTGAAATCGGCTAAAAAATGTAGGAAATTCGATCCAACATATAAACGTTACAGACACACACACACACACACACAACCTGCGTTTTATAATAAGTAAGATATTGAGCGCTTTCCAATGAGTACCGCGCATATATAATATATATATATAAATTGCATATATAAATATAGATATATATTTATATTTATATACATAAAGATTTTACATATATATATATATTAATATATATCCTTTTTATATATTTATATTTATATACATACACATTTTACGTACACACACACACACATATACACACACACATATATATATATATATATATATATATATATATATATATATATATATATATTCTGTTTCTATACGTTATTTTTTATAGATACAAATATTTAAGTAAATACTCTGTTTATAATAAACAGTATTAACACCATTTACCGGCTAGAATGTCCGAGAAATTTCACCGTACATTCACATTCTAGCCGGTAAATGTTGTTAATACTGTTTATTATAAACAGACAATTTACTTAAATATTTGAATCTATAAAATGACGTATAAACAGAAAATATATTAAAATAATTTTCGGACTTAGTCCATTTCATAATATATATATATATATATATATATATATATATATATGTGTGTGTGTGTGTGTGTGTGTGTGTAAGGCTTACGGAAATGAATGGATTATTTATAAGGCTTAAAGAAAGATTTTTATTTCTTAAAAGTTATTGTTAATGGACACTTCTATTTGAATAGAAGCTCCGTTTATTTATTAAACCTTATTTGTTTTTGTTTATCGGCCTGAATATTCGAGAAATTTTATTAGAAAAATATACCGGAGAGCACATATTTTTTTAATAAGATTTCTCGAACATGTAACCCTTACATATATATAATGGCGAGACTAAATTTTATTTTTGGTTCTACTGCTAACCATTGGAAAACTCGTTGTTACCATCATAAAATGTCACTTACCAACAGCAATATTCAAATATCGCGGTACTCTCTATATTTTCCTGGGAAATTAAGACAGATAACTACACTACTAAATTGGGATCTCATCGCTGACAACCAAAACTTTTACCAGCAACAAAGAAATATGTACACTGTGCCTCTTGGAAAAAACGAACTATTCTCAAATATATCGATAATCCTAATTTGCTGTAGAAGCTCAGTGAGTTTATGACGTCATGCATTCATAGAAAAGCCGATGTTAGTTAGATCAATTAGCTTAACATCTGCTGTAATATCCCCACTGACTTTCTACTAATATTTTTTTTCATTTTTAGTTACCTTCCTTGCATCATCCTAACGCTTAACGGTTATTATAGCCTTGCGTTCTTTTTTCATTTTTGTTATTTTTTTGTTATTATTTTTTACTTTTTCTTACCTTATATTATTTTTTATATACGCTTTTTATTTGGTAATTGCCAGCTATTTTTAGTCCATGTTACAATAATCTTATCCGTTGACTCAGTATAAAATATGACGTTACATACATGAGGCAAACAATTTTTATAACCAACCACACCGTATAACCCACCCTTTTCTACTCTCCCCTTTTGTCTATTACTATACTATCTTGCGTTTCAACGTAATGTGACCGTAAGCCTTAAGACTTACGGACACACATATATATATACACATATATATATATATATATATATATATATATATATATATATATATGTGTGTGTGTGTGTACGTAAAGCTTACGTTTATGTATATTTTATCTAGGATCCTTTTAGCGTCTTCACTGAAATACTAACAAGAACGCCGAAAGTCTGAATTAAAATACATCTTTTAAATAAATTCGAACATTCTAGTTTTAAATTGAAATTTAAGCATACTCAGTACAGTTTAACATAAAGCCATCTACAAACTCTCCACAGCACTAATTGTGGCAAATAACTAGACTACAACTACTAGATTTCATTAGTAATATAGCACATGAAAAAAAAATATACCGCCCCCCCCAAGTCAAATTTATTTTTTGTTTTTTTGTCCTTGAGAAAGAACACATGCGTGTCCGAAAATTCCGATTTTAAACATTTCTTACATTGGCCAAATCTATCTATCTATCTATCTATCTATCTATCTATCTATCTATCTGTGTGTGTGCGCTATCTATCTATGTGTGCGCGCGCGTATGTGTGGTGTAATAAGAATAAACATGTGAACTGCATAATAATAATGAGTAAAGAATAGAGAATGATACGTGATCTTCCCTAACAAATAAAAGACCTTGATTGGATTTATAAGGCAAAAATGTTCTTGAGTGCTTAAGGGTTTACTAGTTATTATCTATGCAAATATTCGCGGATATATATATATATATATATATATATATATATATATATATATTCTATATTTCTCCGAGATAATTCTTAAAGAATGTAAAGTAAATACCAATGCGATACATAAATGCTTATATTCCTGTGGTCGTAAAGATATGAACTGCTTTGACTGTTTACTTTTGCCTTGATTTAATTTCGTCCAAGCAGTTTATACATCCGAATAAAAGGCGTATAAAACAATTTCAGGATAACACAATTCCTTTGGGGACTTTTTTGTAAATTTATTATTTTCTATGCATGGAGACTTAGCATTGGAACAGTTACATGGAACAGCAATCAAGCAATATGCAATGATTCTGTAAAGACTAGGTTCTGTATGATAAAAAGATAGTTTTAATGTATTATATATTTATGACTAAAAGCGCTCAATACCAGAGATAGAGAATATCTAAATATAAAAGTGGACATTAATGTCAACACCCAGCAGTTGATTACATTTATGTTTGTTTTATGCATAAATGCAATCAATTGCTGGGTAAATTATTAACTTGTCTTTGCAACTTTTTTTTGGCAAAGTGAAGATGAAACAGAAACTAATGCTTTTAATTTTAATTTAATTATATAATTAAATTTAAAGTGTTTAGCTTCCATTTTTGAAACATGGTTATTACTGTGTAGCGAAAAACCATATTTCAAATCAGTTAATTTATAATATTTATGCTCTGTAAATTTACATTGAGCACTGTTTTGTAAAAATAAAAATAAAAAAATAACAAGAACACCGGATTATATATCTTACTGTACTTTTATTTATACACACACACACACACACACACACACACACACACACACACACACACACACACACACACACACACACACACACACACATATATATATATATATATATATATATATATATATATATATATATATATATATATATGTATATTTAGTTTATTGGGAGAGCAGATCATTATTTAGACATATAATATTAAATATAACAGACAATGAATGTCTATTATGTCTGATAATGTTCGAATGTGTGCTTTAATTTCTAGTGAAAATAAAGACAAAAATTGTTCAGAATTTGAATATTTTTTTAAGTTGGTCCCATACTCAGAGTGGTTATACTGACGGAATTTCTTCCTAGCCAACAAGATAGGTTACTTCTAAGTCTCATCCGCCATATTTCTGTTTTTGTTTTGATGTCAGAACGCTGCGATCGCTTGTCTGTATCCCCTTATGTTTGTTAACACAATTCTTAGTTTGTGGTCTTTTTACTTCATTATTTTTTATTTTCTTTGCATATTCTTTTTGCTTCATATTATTTTTTCCATTGTTCTTTTCATTTCTCTATCTTGTCATTGTTTATTGCAAATTTTGTCAATTTTCTTTGTTGGACATTACTGACACTTACATTTAACCATGGTCAATGGCTTTACACTAATTAACCCATAGCTGGCGGAAGAAGAAGTGGATTCATATCTTTCACAAGTGAACATTACGAACCCAACTGTCATTGGAACTCGGTTCTCTGATTAACAATTCCGAGTGATTATTCATTACACCACCCCTACACCTAAACTTACAGCACCTTGTATTCCCGAACGGTCACCCTTCTAGTTACTGACCAGCTTCGATGTTATTTAAACGTGATGTGTCCCTAAGTCCATGTGTTATGATATATCAATAACAAAATTGCATAAAATATAAACGAACAAAATGAAATTGGCTAGACAGTATATTCAAAGACATTAAAAAAATAAATATATGTAGATGTGGGCAATGAGGTTATGGGGTTACCTCCACTTAAAAAAAAAACATCTGTAGGGGACGCTACTTAAGCTTATACGTAGGGAGTGACATTCTCCGTCATCCGCTTTTTTCTATTTTTCTCTTAGCCGAAAAGACGTAGGTCGCACGTGGAGTAAAGCAAACAGGTACCTTTCACTTCACTTTTATTTACTTTTTTCTATGACTTACTTCTACACAAACACCTTCACTAGTTTGAATGCTTTCTTCATTCATATTAATTGTTTTGTCACACGCAACAATCTTCTCTTGTCTATGTATACTTCTGTTTTGTTAATACATACATTGTCATTTGTTTGTATATATTTTCGTTGTTACTTTATCATTTATTACTCGGACTCACATTAGAGTCCGCAATTATTCTTGCGGGAAAATACGTAACAGGAGACACGTGTTTTTCAACCCAAATACAACCAACACACAACGCAACAATGTCAATACCAAGCGGCATGCTTTAGGTCATGTGTTTTGTGTTTTGGCTCGACTATTTATATGTACTGGTTAATAGTGCAGTCGTCCTGGGTACATCTACGTTCTAGGTATGACGATAAACTACATCCGCATCCTGGGTAAGACGATAAATTACACCCAGCAGCAATGCCTCTGATCAGGAAATTCTGAGGAGTGTGGGACCATCTTTTCGTTGCTTGGGTTCCCAGGTTCACCCTGTTAGGGTCCTAGAAAATAGTTAACCCCCAATCTGGGGTCAAAACGCTATGAAAGTGTAAAAAATAGGTTTTAATGTCAGCAATACATTTTTGTAAAAAATTATTACCAGCAATGAAATTTGGAAGGAAAAAATTATTACCTGCAATATGTTATTACCATCAATGCATTTTTGAAAAAGCAAAGAATATTACCAGCAATACATTTTGGAATTTAAAAAATTATTAATAGCAATTCATTTTTGAAGGAAAAAATTATACCAGCAAAAGTTTTTTGAACAAAAATATTACCAGCAACAAAAATGTTGTCGGCATTAAATAAAATATTGAGGTTGATATGCCGTAAAACAAAACAAATAAATAATAGTGCAGTATGGGTAATATGGTCTATTGTATTATGATGATAGTTATTGAGTGGGTGGTGACGATTCCAGGGCCTATTAAGTAGAAATAATTGTAGATTCGAATGCGGTTATTTGTTAAGTTTTTTTTTTACTCATTATTTATTATTGACTACTTAAGTATTTGTTGTTGATTATTAATATTTACATATACTTATGCTTATGTGTGTATTTATAGTTTGTTAATTTGTTTATTATTTACCTGAGTTGTTTATTTATTTAGATTTTTTGTTTACTTTTATTTTCTGACCTGTTGGTTGGTTATTATTTGTTTAGTTGAAAATATTTGTTTGTTTAAAAAGTATGTTAGATCATCTGCATTGTACATAATGCATATACAGTAGAATCCCTCATATCCGGAATCCCTCATACACGGAATCCCTCATATCCGGAATCCCTCATATCCGGAATCCCTCATATCCGGAATCCCTCATACCCGGACATGATTTTGATGTGTATATTTGAACTACTCGGGTAATAGGTAACTGATTTGAAATTTCTGTTTATCAGGAAATTTATTTTGGATAATTGCTTATGCTTATTTCACCCTAATAGCTTGTATTGGAACAAAAGATGATAGGAATAAGAGGAAAGGATAACAACCAGACATATCTGCAACAAGACAGCGACGAGATGAATGATTGCGATAAAACCGGGACTGCAATGGAAAAAAGTATTGAAAAGGTTGTCAGTTTTATGGAAAGAAAGCCAGCATTCAGCTACGATGATTGCAATTAACGCACGCAGAGTTAAAAAGTGTCTTTCATTTTAAAAAAATTCACAAAAGCAAAACGAAATGCAGAAAAAGTAGAGAATGACATTAGAAAAGAAAATATCATCCTGCAACAGCAATTAAAAAAATCCTTGCTACATTATTTGTTTTGCATCTGTGGTATAGTTAATTTAATTAACATACTTAATTTAATGAATTTTCTTTAACATTATATAATTTATTTCTTTTTCCTTAAAATCAATTCCGTTATATTTCACTCACCATTAGCTTATTTTCTTTACTATAAAACATTGAAAATAAATGTTAAACCTGATTTCAGTTCTTTTATTTTAATCTAAATATAACCCCTCATATCCGGACTTTGTAACCAATTTCTCATCCGGACTTTGTAACCAATTCCTCATATCCGGAAGGCCTTCTTAGTTCAGTTGTCAGGGATTCTATTGTAAAACCCCTGATGTCCGGACTTTGTAACCAATTCCTCATACCCGGAAGGCTTTCTTAGTCCGGTTGTTAGGGATTCTAGTGTATTTGCATTTTTAACGGTTAAATTTTACAATTATTAGTTTTTAATTTTCGATTTTTCAGTAACGTAGTAAAATTGTTTTCGTCTTTGCATCTTGAGATAAGTTCTGATCATTTATTTTGTAATTTGTGTCGATCTGAGGAAAGGGATTATAGTTATATTTCCTCAATGTTTTCTGAATTATGGTTGTAGGCTGATTACATACGCCCTATCTCTGATCTTGAACACTTTTTCCCTAAATACAGGATACCTTAAAAATATTTTTTTATCATATGTATGAAATCCCGATATATTTCTGATTAGGTCCGTGCTAAAAATGTTGCTACCACCTCTTGTCTGGTGAACCTGTAATTCGGGGTGTTCATAAAATCTCTTTAGAATTCAAAAATATGCATTAAAAAGGCAATTAATGAGTTATCTTATTCAGATTTGTTCTATGTAGTTTTGAAAGTTTTTAATCACATTGCATTTGTGTATTTTTGGTATCCTGTTGGTACTGTTAAATGAATCCCTAACATTTCCAGACCGGTTGATTGGCCAAATTCCCTGACCACTTCGTTCGCCAGCTATCACTCCCCTGGACTTCTTTCTATAGGTTATGTTAAAGATATCTTGTATCGAACAAAAATACGGTACATCACTGATATAAAACAAAAGATCACTGATGCCATTGCCACCATTGATGAGGTTATGCTACTGCGAATATGGCAAGAA